ATAAAAAAAAAAAAAAAAAAAAAAAAAAATCAGCTGGCTTAAATGATTCCACGCAAATCTGCCTTGTGTTCGTCGCTCCTTCTACACCTCCTCCTCCCCCACATCCCCTCGCTGCTCACCGCTCGGATCTATTCGTGCTCGCGGTGCCGGCCGGCCCGGGCTGCGCGGGGTTGGAAACACTCGGGGCTCCAATTAACAAAAGCAATATTTAACTAGCTGCGGGAGGCCGGAGGAGGAAGAAAACAAGGGGTGGAGAGGGACGCGGTAAGGTGAGGGTGTTGCACAGAACGAAGCGGGCTGCGTAACCCGCTTGCTCTTCAGCACGGCTCAGCTCAGTCCCACACGCACACGGCGCTCCGGAGCCCCCGCACCGCGGCCACGCGTGAGCTCAGCGGGAGGCGCTGCCACGTGGCCCCGAAGCAGCCGGGAGGGGTGCAAGGCCGGGGGGTTCAAGAGAGGATGATGATGAAGATGACGATGAAGAGGAGGAGGAGGCGGCGGCGGACCTGAATGGGAAGGGGTGGGTTGGATGCGGAGGCGGTGGGACCAAGTCTCACCTGGGGAGCCGCGGGTGCCGCCCCTGGGAGCCGGAGGGGCGGCTAAAGAAATGAACAGCAGCTGCGTGAAGCAGGCGGCAGCCCCGAATAGCAGGCAGCCATTTCACGCGGCCCGGCAGCTCCGCGGCCGGCTCGGAGGCAGCCCCGCAGCAGCACCTGTCGTGGGAGCGGGGCTGGGCAGCCCCGAGTACAGCACAGCCCGTCCCGTCACTCCCCACACGCTGAACGCACGACCGCGGCTCCAGGAGCACGGACTGATCGCGCCCCTTCTGCACCCACCCGCTGTCCCCTCCTTAAAACATCACGTCGTACCCTGGAGAGCAAGGAAGTACCCGGGCTTCCTCGGGGGATGGGGTGATGCTGGGGGTTATCCCCCTACACTTTCTTCTCTCATTCGTAAACAATTAATTAAAACAGACAATTTCTTTTTTTTTTTTTTTTTTTTTTTTTTTTTTTTTTTTTTTTAGGTGCTAAATATCCCAGCTCTCATTCGCGTTTTTCCATACAGCCCAGCCCCAGCCAACCTCAGCACAGGAGCAGCACCAGCCCCGGCCCTTCCGCCCCCCAACCTCCCACCGTTCCGGCAGCGGAGCCGTCCGGCCGGGCACCAGCACAGCTCTCCTTTCTCACCCTGCTGCTCTGCTTCGCTCTCAAACCTCTTGAAATACGGCCCTGAAAGGAAGATGGTGGACACAGTGCAGTGAATCACGCTACCTTAGGTGCATAATATGCTTTTTTTTTTTTTTCTCCTGCAATCATATGACAGAGCAGGAGGGAAAACACTTCGATCCTGCACTGTGAAACTCACCTGCAAGTGCGAACTTGGGACCACATCCGGCACTCCCAGTTCTGTGCTCTGACTCTCTCCTATTAGCTGTCATTATGCCCCAGAAACGTTCCACATACCGTGTCTGAATGTGAAACAGATAAGAACCTGAGGCCGAAGGCTGCTAATATTCAATGCTAGACTGACAGGAATTCTTTATTTAGATATTAGCATGATATTAGCATAGTATTAGGGTTGGAAGAGTACTCTTTTTCCATTGGACTGCTGGATTAGTACACCCAGAGAATTCAAGCCATGTCAATATATCCAGCAGTTGTTCCCTGCTGTGGTGCATGCGCTGACAATGAGGCACGTTGGTTCTGTGCCTAGGACACACTGTGCAGCAAAGCCTGCTTCAGGCCGGCTCTTCCAGTAAATGAATGAAATATCTCTCAAATAAAATCACTGCATACAGATATAATGGTGCATTCCATGTAGAAGATTAACATATACCCCCACACTTTCAAAATAAAAATGAATGTATAAAGCCTCTGCTGAGCCATGCTTGGATGATCTGTATAGCTTAGGATTTTTGTTAGATGTGACTCCTCCACCATTTAAGTGGGTCAACAACAGTAACACTTCCTTACCTTTAGTCCTGTTTCTGTGTGCCCTGTGTGATAAGGGTATAATTATACACTGACACAGAGTATGAAGTCATACAATACTTTTCCTTTTGCAAATGCTTTGCTGTACTCTTTTGATAGCACCCCTTTTTGTCTGAACACAAGTTCTGGTCCATCTCTGTCATTCAGAACTTCTCAGTGCCTTTAAAATGTCCCACTTATCAAAGAAATCGTTCCCCTTTTCCTCTTGTGTCTGTTTGTTTGTTTGAAAAGGAAATTAAATAGCCGCTGCAAAGAGCAGCATTGGCAAGATGGAGAACCATTCGTGTCATACTCTTGAGGATTGTTATCTAAGTTTTTTGATGTATTATGATGGGGAAACAACCCAGTTGCTAGTTGGATGATAGTTACTTACATCTTATAAATACCTCAGATTACAAATTACTATAATCTTTAAATAGAAATCAGCAAAGATGGTCATGTTTTACATGCCAGTTGCAAATCATTTTTATTCTTAGCTTTCGACTTTGAGGAGTACAAAAGAATACACAAATAAAATTGAAATACACTGAAGTGATGTCCCACTATCCTTGTTGGCCTGTGTGTGACACTGCAAGAACTGGGCTATAAATAATGTCATACTTCACTTGTCTTGTCAGCCCTTGCCTATGGCAGTATATTCCTGTCACCATGAGCAACAGCCCAGGCCATGTATGGAGAACTGCTGTAAAGCAATTATAAAACAGTTTGCAGTAAATATATAGATTAAGTTAAATACATTTTCGTATGGGATAAGACAGGTTGTCATGTATTACTGCCACTGGAGTCCCAAGGCACAGAAGCAATACTGATTTATGCCATCCCAAGAACTCCACCTCCATCACTGGGGTTGTGAATAACAAGGGCAAAACCCCCGACAAAGAAATCCTTTCACTGCACACCAGTGGCTTGACCTGCCTACTGTTCTTTGGATGCCGTATTTCCTGAACTCTCGAAAATTTTGATAAGATGCAGTAATATCAGAAACCCTCTGCTAAGAGTTGTTTGCATAAATCAGATCAATTTTTAGTCTATAATTTTCAGAAGAACATTTGTGATTATTAATTTTCATATGTTTTCTATTTCCAACCTCTGTAAAGTCCCGAGTCCACAATACTCCATCTTGGCTTTGCTGTCATTTCAGGCCTTCACATGTAATATGGCACAGTCCATGCACCATGCCACGTCATTAGCAAGCAGCCTATCAGCACACACACTGCCATTACAATGCATGCACAAGCAAAATGGCTCATGAGGGTGTACGTTGATTCCGCTCTTCTTAGGCAATAGAATTTGGTTTTGCACGGCAAAAACTTTCTAGGATTTTCAGATTTGTATAGGTTTTGAATATTGCATATTTAGACATTTTCAAAGCAGCAAAGCAAACAACAAAGGCAATAGTGTACGATCTGCCTCTTATACTGCTTTTGGCCCTCAAAAGCAGATGAAATCATCAGCACTGTACAGTAACTGAGTGTGATAAGTTGCTTAGGAAACAAGTATTACTTGATACAGTGTAAATTTCACTTAATTATAGCAGAAGAGAAATAGGGGGGCAACCATTTGGTTTGCATTGGTTGGTTTACATACATTCATATGTAGAATTTTATTTACTGAAGTTGAGATGTGCTCATTCTGTGACTCACTGCATGGTGTCCCACCTGATGAAAGATACTATGGATAAGAACTTGCTCTTAACAAAGAGCTATTAATCCCAGGATAAAATAAATAAATAAATAAATGAAATAAAAAGCTGTATGTTAGATGCACGTTGAGTCTTTTAGTGTGATATCAAATTACAGATTAAAACATGGAGTTAAAACATTGCATGAGACAAGTGTTCTGATTGGAGGCAATTGTCAGCAACTCAGTGGGGACTGGAGTGAAATAGAAAATGTCTGGCACTTGGAATTATGATGGAATGAAATCCTGCTATCGTATCATGAAAGCGCCACTGAAAGCTCAATTTCCTTCAAACTGGTGGAATATATTAGTTTAA